TCCATTGGAATCAAACTCTTACTTTTAAAAATAAAAATAATGTATTTTAAATTGTAGCGGTATGAAGATGTAAATGTATATGCATCACAAAATTGTTCTTAAGGATGGCTTAGAGTTAGCTAGCTAGTGTGTCAATAAATAAAGCTTTTCCAGAAATACTTTTTAAAAGATAATTCCCAGACACATTTTCTTTGAGTTTGCATTTGAGATTTCAAATTCCACTGTCCATATGTTTCCAAAGGAATCAGGTACCATGCATATAGTTTCCATCACGAGAATGAAAACAAATTTTAAAGGATTCTAGAATAGGTGAGCACATATAAAATATTCACTAAGTATTTAGAAGAACATGATTATAATGTTCTAAGAAGACTAAATTCCACAAAAGTTCATCCTGGTACATGTTGTTTGTTCCATGCGCTAGGTGCTCATCACAGGTTAGAACACATCCAAACTTTCAGGACGTCCCTGGACCCACTCCCTCGTTATTACGGGAGGGGCATCCTCCAATCTTCACCCTGAGTGGGTCAATTTTATTTTAGCAGCACCCAGTATCTGGTCTAGAGCAACCAAGGAGCACCTGGGACAAAGGTATAGGTATATTGGGGAGGTAATGAGACTGGATTAAGTGCATTACGCAAGCCGAGCCGCTGCCATTGAATAGGATACATAGACTTGAATTAATGGAAAACATACGACTGTTCCTTGTCATTGAAAGGGCTGCTTTGGATGGCATTTGGAGACACATGCAGGATTTTTGAGAGGCACAATTTCATATTCATCATATATATTTTTTTTTTTTTTGGTTGAAACCTCAGCCTATTCTCTTAACTAGAAGAGTATCTGCCAGCAGAAAAGTCAACAAACTCACAGGAGACAAAAGACATTCTTAGTTTGATTGCTCCTAATAAGCCTCAGTGTTTCCAGACCACATAATGTCATAGAATTGTTTGTAATGCTCCTTTAAAAGGGTGACAGGGTTCAGAAATAAACTGCACATGGTAAGAGGAGCCTCCCATGGGTCATGCCTGCAAAGTGAGCAGCAAGGCTTTGGGAGCGGTGGTGGTTTCCGGCCATCAGCGTTACTAACCAGGCCCAGCTTAGCATTTATGGGAATCTACTCAGATCAGGATGACACATGCTACATTCACGTAAGTAACCCGGCCTGATATCTTCAAGGTGATGCTGAGACAAACTTTACTCCAGTTATCTGCGATTGGAGCGTTTCATTATTTGTATGTATCCTTGAGACAGAGCGAGCCCACGCAGTAGACACATTAGGTCCACGGGTCACAGAACCCGTATCGAGTGCTTCGTGCCCGCATAAAGCAATTACTGTCAACTCTCAATTAGCCTCGTTATTGGAGGAAGCACTAATGTAGAAAATAGAAATCCTAGATAACCTTTCTTGCTACCATAGTTGTAGCTGAGGTGAGAGAGAGAGAACCAGAGAGATAATGGAAGCGCCAGGAAAAGCTTGGGGTTGAGAGGTCTCTTCAGGAAAATGTGAGCAGAGGTGATAAATTCAGCTGCCACTTTGCCCTCTGTTAATGCCTGCTGTCCTCTTGCCCTGCACCAGGAAGCAAAAATAACACTGCTTTCCCCGCACGCTTCTGGCTGACAGGTCAAAGGCATGGGGCAGAGGAAGCCAGCAGAAAGCGGCAGGGGGGCACCCTGAGAGGCTGGCAGGAGGCGGTCAGAGCCCTGAGGCCTGGAGGGGCACAGGGGGTTCTCAGTGGCTCTGCACCTTCCTCCTCAGGAAGCTCGAGCCACGTCCAAGGCTCCTCAGGAGAGTGCTCAGGTGTTTGACCCTTTAGGACTTTGACTGTGTCAACCAACATGGTAAAAGTTGTTCACTTACAAATGTTATATTCAATCATCTGCTCATATGGTAACCATTGTTACATTACATATTCCTACACATATGGCTACGTGCCCAGTGGGTCCTGGGCGTAAGCATATTCCCATGTTCCTCGTGGAAGAAGCCCTTCGCGCTGGAGCGTCTCCGGCCAGGAGCCACAGGATGAGTGAAGAGGACACCTCTTCAAGCGATTCCTCGGGGCCCTTCTCCAGGAAGGGTTCACATTTTAGTAAGGAAGGCAATCTTAAGTGACAAAGACCAAACAACAGCAGACTTCCAGGACCCACTGGAGTCGGGGCCTCTGGGGAGAGAGGCTGAAGGGGTAGAGGACAGCTTCAAGGTCACAGCAAAGACAGGGAAAGAAAGCTGGGCACAGCCCTGGGGAAAGGCAGGCAAAGCAAGGATCAAATGATGTTTTCATGAAGAAATTATTTTGGGTTTACTGAAAAGGAGACAACACACCCAAAATGGCGTCCCTTGTGCTAGGCCCCACATCAGCGACCCGAGACTGAGTACTTCCGCTGAGTGCCAGCTTGGCAGGACTGTGACTTCTCACCGGTCACCACGGAATGACCCGGTCAGCACTGTGAGAGAACCCAGCCCACAGGCCCCTTCTGTTCCCCTCAGGAGGGCAACCTTGCCTGAAACAACACATTCTTTCCTAATAACTTCCTTTTCCGCCCCCTTTCCGCCTTTAAAAAGCTCTCCTTTTCTGTAGGTCTGTGGAGCTCCTTTCTGTTGGTTAGATGGATGCGGTCCAATGCATGAGTCACTGAATGAAGCCAATCCAATCTCCGACATCACCAGCTTAAATTCTTGTTGTTTAACAGGTTAAAAGTATATAAAAAGCCAAACTCATATCCTCTGTAAATACAACTATGCAATAAAATTAATGGGGTCTGGGATGAAGCCATTTGCCAGTTTTTGCCTCAAAATGCGTTTGTGTGTATTAGAGTGAGAGACATGGTAGAAATGGGATAAATAGGTAGAAAAAGTCAAATAGAAGAGTAAGAGAGACACAGTGGAAAACGTGAGAGTTCTGGGGACTACGGCCAGGATTCTTACTATTCAGGGGGTGGGAGAAGAGGAAGGGAAGGGAAGGGAGAAATAAAAGTAACAGGAATTTAAGGCTGGTGACTATAAAATGGGGAGTGACTCCTAAGAACAGGCAAGATTATGAAAAATGTAAATATTGACTGTAAAATATCAGTGGGCAACTTAGTCAGTAAATTTTTCTATGAAGCTCATCAGCTAGGGAAGGTACATAAGGGAAATGTGATTCTATGACCCTGGTTTAAAAGGAAGACAGGAAATTAAAGGAATTATTGCTTCTCTCTTCCTTTTTCAAGACACAAAGACAACAAAAATGGCAAAACATGGAGGAAAATACCAGATGTAATCAAACAAGCAAGCAAACGAAAAGCCTCCCATTCTTTTTAAAAACCGCGAAGCATACATGGACCAAATTCAGGAAGGACACTGAGAGCTGACAAATATCGCAAGTGTCAAGCAGGTGCAAAAAGTTTCTGCCCAAAGTGATGTCAAAATATCTAAAGAGCATATATAATGAGCCTTTAATGAGAGTGGCAAGACTCACGATCTAAGCCCTAGAGACTGTTTGACATTACGTAACGAGGACAGGCAGAGCTAACAGAAAATGTTTTATTGTACTCCTATTTACTTTGTATTGTGCTGCTATTGTATTTATTCTAGCCATGCAAGAATTTCAGAGGCAATGGCATGTCTATAGAAATACCAAGGGAGTAAGGGATGAAAAAGAAACAAAAAAGTATACAGACTTAAATTTTCCAGATCACTCTTTTATGCAGGAAGTATATGGTTTTATACCTTATGCCAATGGCAATTTTCTCTCAGATGACTATTTTGATAGACAGCATTTGAATTTTATGAGGCAAGTCCAAAGAAGAAAATATTAAATAATACATAAAACATTAAACTCTGTCATGTTAAGCAACAGAAGTGGATAGATTTGCTAGATGGCTCCAATCAGAGCATCCATTTAGATTTTCAAGGGATAAAGATGAGAGAATGAGAAGTGTAACCAGATTATAATACACCCCTTGTGTTGCTGTCAAGAGCTAAGCACTATTTTGCTATTTTATCCGAGAATATACAATTCAGTACATTAAAAAAGCAATTCAGTGACCGTGTCTGGGTCCTTACTGATGGGTCTTAGAACAAGCAGGAAGAGGTTTCCACTAGCTATAGATCTGAAAAACATGAATAAGAGCCCTTGGAAGGACTTAAAAACACTTTTTGACTCTTATGCCAATGAACGTTGGATGTGGTACATGTGCTAGCCAAGGTCACTTGGGTGTCTGTTACTCCCAGAAATGAGCCGGCAATGAAAGTTCTGAATTTGAATTAGGTAACACACTCTTACTTGCACTCACAAGTTGAGAGTTATGAGTTTTCTCTTTCTTGTCCTGACTAAACACAGGTAAAAAGTAATCTATAGACTCTCATGGGGCCCTGGCCCTTTAAAGAAACATGGTTTATGTTTCAGACAGACCCAAACATCAACCAACATTTACTTAAGTGATATTTGCTAATGGCACAGTTGGATAACTAGAGAAGTATGAGTTAATGCTGATTTCATCATTCTCAAGTTCAAAAATACTGGAATGATCATAGACCCAATGACCACACACTTCAAGTCTGGGCAGCTTAAGAAACTGTTGAAGGGTATCCCCCCTAAATTCATATGTTGAAGTCCTCATAGTACCTCAGACTGCATCTAGAGGGAGGGCCTTTGAAGAAGAAATTAAGATGTAGTGAGCTCACTTAATTTCTCACCGTGTGTGCAGGGGGAGGAGAGGACTCAGATAAACAGAGGGAAGACCGTGTGTAAACACAGGGAGGAGGAGGCCACTGCCAAGCCAAGGAGAGAGGCCTCAGAAGAAACGAACCTTGCCAACACTTGGCTTTCAGACGTCTCGCCTTCAGAACTGTGAGAAAATGAATTTTGTTGTTTAAGCCACCAGATCGGTGGGGCTTTGTGATGGCAGTTACAGCAAACTAATATTGCAACCTCCCATAATGAGCCCCTTTTCTCTCAGAAGTGTGAACTGAGAGCCAGGTTTCCGCTGTGGTGAAATGCACCCTACATCATACTCACAACCCCGACCGGAAAGGCCAGCACTGCTAACATCCAGTCCCGAAGAGAAATGAGTTTCTTGAGCTGCCTCTCTTGTTCCTGGTTCCCACTTCCTCTCGTCAGAAGGCTGGAAAGATCCGTCAGCACACAGATGCCAAAGAAGACAGCCTGGATAACCTGGGGGGAGAAGCAGCGGGGATTAGTCCACTCGCTCCACAGTGGCCCATGCTGGGCAACAGCGAACAAGCTACAGGTTTGCAGCACAACGCGTGATAAGACAGGATCCAAAGCACATTTGAAAAGCTGGCCATAAACACAGACAAAGAGAAAGATAGCTGAGAAAATTCATCTTAAAACCATCACTTTCATTTTTGCTCATCTAAGGACAAATGCATGCACACACACGGTTCAACAGAAAGCAACGTAAACTATCAAAATGACATGCCCATTATTTTAAAATAGCACGTCTGTGGTCTAGTGATATTGACTAGTGGGGTTTAACAAACAGCTAAGACGTGCAAAGAAAAGGATCAGGGTAGTCTGAATAATAAATGAGACAATTCAGTCATAATGTGAAGAAACCATCCTGTGCCTTATTTAATCTGTGAGATTTAGATTTTTTTTTTTTTTACCAAATGGAGTGGTTCAAGTGTTTAGTCTGTGAGACATAAAGAAATCAACTGAATACAATAATCGAGACTGATGTGAGCAAATTTTTGTTGTCAAACTTGAACTAAAAGACCTCCTACGAAGGTCTTCAGTTTTTATGAACCAAAATCTTTACAAAGCATTGTAAACTTAGATACTCACATTATTTTCCCAAACTAAAGTGACCAATTTCACTTTCCCAAATCAATTACAAATTGAAATACTTACCTTCGCTGTGTTTTACTTGTACTGTCAGAGAGAGAGAACACTGAAATGCTACAGCCCAATTACGTGTGACATTCCTGAAGTACGGGGAAAAGTGCCACTGACCGAGAGCTCAGAGCGGAGGCAGGATAAGAGAACGCAGCTTGGCAACGGGAATTGAAACTATGGAAAGGGCAGAAAATATGTTCTCTGGCCTCAAAGTCAAGCCCATTTAGCACCCACAGGAGAGTCAAGGGTATTATTCTGGTTTCTTTGACCGGAAATGGTTTTCTGAAGATGTATTTATTTGTAAATAAAATTTTACTCATTATCTGTTGAGAAAACTTAATTTTTTCAGTAAATGTCCACGTTGGCATTTGGAAAGAACCAGTGAACGTTCTGCAGATGGGTTCCCAACTGAGGCACAAAACAAATGAAGGACCCTCAGCGCCACCTGGTTCTATCCCTTAGCACGGCACCAGCACACGCACATTGTTGTTGATTCTGTTCAGACTCTTACCGAAGCCACTTTGGAAATTCCCCATAAGGGAGACTCTACCATCGGGCTTAGTTAGATAAATAAAAATCTTGCAGTATGTTTATATATAATACACTGGGCTCTTTGGAGCTCACCAAAGCCTGCTATTATTAGCCAGTCTTGTCAGGGTAATGTTATATTCTTCCTAATAACTTAGCTTCTCTTTTAGCTTCAATGACTTCAGGTTTATTGCTATTCTTCCTAGAACCAGAAAAACCAGAGTGAGAGAAGCTAAGACTTCCACAACTGAGCACAGTGGAACTGAATGCCTGGCAAGAGTGATGTTGTGATGACCAGAAATGATTTAAATGACTCAGGGAATAATTTGGAATAATTTCATACTTGGGCACAGTTTTCATAGCACATCTTATGACTTTAGGTGTTAGATCTGTATGTCAACCCAAATAGGGTTTGAGAAATTAAAGTGGCCATATTCAAGAATAATAATATCCATGCCAGTCTGGCTGGTGTGGCTCAGCGACTGAGCGTCGACCCATGCACCAAGAGGTTGCTGGTTCGATTCCCAGTCAGGACACATGCCCAGGTTGTGGGCCCGATCCCCAGTGGGGGGCATGCAGGAGGCGGCCAGTCGATGTTCTCTCTCATTGATGTTTCTATCTCTCTCTCCCTGTCACTTCCTCTCTATCTAAAATATCAATAAAGAAAAAAAATTTCTTTAAAAAAAATAATAATAATATCCATGCCAATCTGGCCAGTGAACATATTTAAAAGGTGTCCTGCCTAATCAATAATCTGGGAAATATAAATTTGGATCACCATAAGATCACATTTCTCATGTATATAATTATTCATAGTTTAATTCTGATAGTGCCAAGGATTATAAGGGTGTGGAACAACAAGAACCTTATGGTAGGAATCCAAATTAGGATAACCACTTAGAAGAACCATTAAGTATGTAGTAATTTAAAGATGCATATACTCTATCATCTTGACTTTGCTATGAAGGGCATTCCCTACAGAACCTCTCATTTTTGTACACTAGTCACATCTACATGAAAGTCAGTTTCAGCATTTACTGCTTCAAAAAAGGTGAAGCAATCTTAATGTCTCTCAACAGTTCACTGAATAAATAAATTGTGCTATATGCATACAATGAAATTCTAAGCACTTACCAATTATTCATTCTCATGACTAAATATTAAACAAACAAAGAAAAGCAGAAAAAAACTACATTTTGAAATTAGAATAAATTTCAGACATGGAAAGATAATTTTAAGGATGCATATATATGAAGTAAAATATGAAAAAATGCATGGGAATTAATAACACTGAACTCTGGTATATTGACAAGGAGGATAAAATTAGGGAAGGGACACCAGGGCCTCAACTATGCTGATAATGTTTTATTTAAGTTGATTATGGGGTATGCAGAAATGTATTATGTTATTCTTTATATAATTCATTATTATAAAATAGTTCTACATAACTGAAATATAAAAGGTAAAAAAGAGTGTTTTTTATACTTTTGGGATATAGCTGGCTAGTCTCTTTTTCTTTCTATCCATCACTGTTCCCTACTTTTTGTGACTGGCTAATAATAGCAGGATTTGGTGAGCTGCAAACTCTGTAAAGTGAGTGAATTTTACAAATCCATGATTAAGTAGCTAGTACCAGATATATCTTCCCGCCATAAACAACTAGATATTTAAACTAAATATATAATTAATCTTTCCATATATTCGACTTGCCCTCTGCAATTAGCCAGATAAATCTCTCTTTAAACAAAAAGAAGATCACTTGATGAAAACAGGCACACCTTGGAATTCTCTTTTTCCAAATCAAATAATATAATCACAAGAGTGATTGTATACACAGGATCTTCTAAAACCCAGTGGGAGGGGATTGTACAAGGGTGAATATCACTGAGGGTCATTTTAGGATTCTGCCTACCACAAGCTGTAGGTTAAACAATTTCAGAGCCCAGAGTAGAGAGTTATTCAAGTTCTGACCAACCAAACAGAGAAGCCTTACTGACCACAACAGGCGTTCGGCAGAAACCTGTTTCACACCGAGATATTAGTGCTAAATAGCCCTCAGGGAACGATAACACCACCGGCTCCTCTAGACCCACTCCAGCAATACTTGAAAACAAGCCTCAAAGAGATCAAGCTGATCTACAAGTAATTTAAATGCCTGCAAACACAAAATTCTACAGTCTTTAAAGGCAGATGACACTGTCTAAGCCTTCAGCAATACCCACCATTACAATATCCAACATACAATGAAACATTATTAGACATGCCAGGAAGTGGGAAATCCTTAACCAGGAGACACCCCATTAAATAAAAACAGATAAATGACCAAAAAAATGTTGCAATTAGCAGACAAGAACATTAAATAACTAAATTAAATAAGTTTAAGAAGTTAAATAAAAATAATAAAAGAAACAAGTCATTTAAAAAAACCACAAATTGAACCTTTAAAAATTAAAAAGACATTACCTAAAATTTAGATGTTAGTGGGTAGACCCTGGCTGGTTTGGCTCAGCGGTTAGAGCGTCGGCCTGCAGATCAGAGTCCCGGGTTCGGTTTCCGCTAAGGGCATGTACCTCAGTTGCAGTTTGTCCCTGCCTGGTTGGGGTCGTGTGGGTGGCAACCACTTGATGTGTCTCTCTCACATCAATGTTTCTCTCTCTCTTCCCCCCTCTCTCCTTCCCGCTCTATCTGAAGATAAATGCAAAAATGTCCTCAGGTGAGGATAAAAAAAAAAGAAGTTACTGGGTAGGAATAATAGCATATTAGGCACTGCAGAAGAAAAGATGAAAAAACTGAATACACAGCAATCGAAACTATCCAAAATAAATCAGAGAAAGAAAATAATGTGTTTAATGAATAGAATGTCACTGTACTGTGGGAAATGTCAAGAAGTCTAACAATATATGTATACTAGAGCCCTAAAGGAGACGGGGGTCATGTAGGAAAAAGTATTTGAAGAAATAATGACAAGTTTTTCCAAATGTCATGAAAGTTATACACCACAGCTTCAAGGAGCTGAGCAATGGAGTATTTACCAAGAAAACCACATCAAGGAATACTGCAATCCAGTGCTAAAAATCTGTGATGGGATCTCAAAAGATGCTAGAGAAAAGAGATATATCACATAGAGAAAAATAAAGATAAGAAATATACAGACGTCTCGTGTAAAACAGCACAAGCTAGAAAATACTGGTATCTTTCAAGTTCTCTAAGGGGAAAAACTGTCAGAGGTCCAAGACATTTTCAGACAAACAAAAGCTGAGAGAATTCATTGTCAGTTGACTTTCACTACAAAACAACGTTAAAGGAATGGAGAATCGGACACTAAACGGTAACTTCAAATCTATATAAAGCCATGACTGTTGCTAAATATAGTAAATACAGGGATGAACATAAGAGATTTAACTTCTAATATATTTTATTTTTTAAAGATAGTTGTGAGGTTTTAAACATATTTAGAAATAAAATCATGACAGCAATAGCACAAAGGACAAGAAAGGAGGAATGGGGGGTCTACTGATGCTAATTTCTTAGTTATTTATAAAGTGATATACTATTATTTGGAAGCAGACAGTGATAAGTTAAAGACATCTAGTTCAAACTCTAGAGCAATCACTAAAAGGATAAAACACATTTTCAGCTAATGTATTAATTGTCTGTGCTGCATAACAAATTACTACAAACTTAGCAGTTAGAAACACCAATTTATTAGTTCACCGCTGTGTAGGTCAGAAGCCCAGGTGGCTTAGTCTGGCTTCAATGCTCAGGGAACTGTCACAGCAAAGCCAGAG